AATTATTATTTTCTCCGTGTCACAGAATATTTTCAATTTTGTATTTGGATTGATGGAAATTAATTGTTTGTGACACAGATTTGTGACTCAATTTCGTGAAATTAACACAATCGTAGAGAAGAAGACAATCTAGGTAATTCTTCGACAATATTGTGGATAGCTACTATGTTTGTAGTCATGATCCATCGAATAGGATCTGCGTGCAGTCACATAATCGTCCATCGGATCTATTCTGGGCGCATATTTTGTTTGATGCAAAAATATTGTTCCATATCAGTGTTGTGAACGAATCTGAACTACCTTAAACCATCTTTGGGATTTATTCTGATGATCTGTGACCGGTTCAATAATCTGAATAGATTGTAACCACACCAATCAGAGGATGTAGGCAGCATATGTTACCAGTGTTATGTGATTTGTACTGTAATAGGTAGATGTAGATGCTTCGTTTTCGAGCATGAAATGTAAACTATGTGAAAAAAATATGGCATGCAATTTATTCCATTATGCACACTGACAACAAATGTGACAAATGTAATAGAAGCATGTGTTTATTGCACCACGCATCCTGACATTGATTCCTGTCATATGTGACCTTCTCATAAATGTGACCGAAATGTAACTACGTGAAACAGTGGTTGCTATCCACGTATGTGACCTCCGTTTCACCTACAGTAAGATAATGTATTTTCGTTTGGATACATAGTAATGCGACTGCTCGCCGATTTAGTTAGCAATGCCACATATGAACAGAAGTTCACATATCCTATGAATATCGGGTCAAATATTTAGCGTACCTTCTCATATATCTGGCAGGAATGTAACCACATGAAACAGTGGTTGCCACCCAATATATGTGACCTCCATTTTATTGCATCTTTAGTCTCATATATGACTTGTTCACAAATGTGACCTCCATGTCATTACAGTCATTCATGTTTGAACTGTATGCATTGTATTACAATAAATCAGCTACATGAAATTCAATTTTTGTAGGAATGGCGTACATGCACATATGTTTGCTATATGGATCTCAGTCAGCGTTGGCATTGGTAGACCGTGGTTGCGGACACGTAAACCTTGCTGACACAATCATGTCAGAGTTCAGCTTTGACCCTACGAAGGTGGCAGTGTCACTGAAGTATGTCCTGAATGACAATTTGCCTCCAGTCAGGATAAAAAATGACGGTAACGTCCTCTCGTACATTCTGCTGAAGGAAGGCGATCGTGAACCTGCTAAATACCCATTAGTCATCGATGTTACCGATGCAGCAATAGAGAAGCCATCTAACACGGCTCCATATACTGCTTACCATAGCAGCGAGCTTCATACATTGCAGGATATGGCAGCTGAAATATGCAAAGCATCGGGTGAACATGTAGGTCACATTTACGAAAACGAGGTCACAGTTGTTTCAGTAGCAGAAGCTGGGGAGGTCGAAGAAGGAAGGGTTTTCCGTGATAAGGAGATTTTAAAATTAAGCATATCCTTGTTTGCCATAAGGAATATGTTTGAGTTCATGGTTGAGCTGTCAGACAAGAAAGAATATGTTGTGAGGTGTTCACAGGAAGGATGTAGTTGGATATGCAGATCATCGAAATGGGACAAAACGGATCTATTTAAGATTCGAAAGATTGGTAGTCACACATGTGCATCAAATGTAGTGTTGGGGTCACATAGACAAGTCACAACTGCAGTTGTTTCATCTAGAATCAAGTATAAGTACATATCGTCCAGCACCATATACACACCAAAGGATATATGCAATGAAATGTTGCATACTTTTAGAGTTTATTTGAACTACACGAAAGCTTGGAGATGCTGTGAACAAACCTTGAAGATGATTAGGGGTGATCCAACTGAATCATTCAGTAGGATACCAAGTTTCTTCTACATGCTCCAACAAAAGAATCCAGGTACGGTCACATATCTAGAGATTGATAGTCACAACAGGTTCAAGTATTGTTTTATGGCACTCGGTGCTTCAATACGTGGGTGGCCACATTGTAGGCCTGTAATTGTAGACGGTACATACTTAACTGGTCATTATGGGGGCACACTCTTCATAGCATGTATACAGGATGCAAACAATAGCATATTTGTTCTTGCTTTTGGTGTTGGGGATAATGAGAACGATAACTCTTGGAGATGGTTTTTGGAAAAACTGAAAGAGGCTTATGGATATAGAGAAGGACTATGTTTTGTATCAGACCGTTATGGCAGTATAAAGAAAGCAATAGAACATGTGTATTTAGGAGCCTGTCATGGTATTTGCTCGTATCATTTGCTACAGAACCTGAAACATTATTATGGAAAATCAGGAGAAAATATTACACAAGCTTTCAACTCGGCTGTCCGCGCTTACACATTGGAGGAATTTGAATACAACATGCATCGACTACACACAATGAATGAGAATATTACTAGATACCTGGTAATGTATTGCTTTCCAAAAATAGATATCACGCACACTAAATTGGTCACATATGTCATTGTATATGGAACTCATATGTATGATACATGTTTGCAGGTTGAAGTCGGCCCTGAAAAGTGGTCGAGAATTCATATGCCAGTGAACAGATTTTCCACAATGACATCAAATATTGTAGAATCAGTTAATGCAGTCACAAAGGCAGCTAAGAATTACCCCATTATGTCGTTGCTAGAGTCTTTACGATAAATAGTGCAAACTTGGTTCTGTAAACATAGAGACGAGGCGCATGGAACTTTCACAATGTTGACAAGCAAGTTTGAGAACAGTTTAAGAAAAATGAGTTCAGAATTAAGGAACTTAAGGGTAGGTATCTTATCTTTATCTTGATGTTTGTGTATGTGTACTAAATGAAGATACATGTGACCTGACCATAATTGCATCCGACCTGGAATGAACAGTTGTGATTGTGTTCTAACTATAAATGCATGTGACCCAGTATTAAATTCATCTCTCTTGAAATTTGCATTTGCAACGCTGAGTGATTTGAAGTTTGCATCTGTGACTCGAATCCATGATATCCAAAATAAAGTATGACTGCATGTGACCCGATTTGAGCAATGTACACTGAAATTTGCATGTCTGTGACCAGAACTGATCTTTTTGAAACTGACAAAATACAATTGGTACTACAACACTACATTCTTGCAGGTATCTGCTTCCAACCAGACAATTTTTTTCGTCATCAGCAATGACAGGTCCACCTTTGTTGTTGATATTGAGGAACGTAAAAGCACGTGTCGGATGATGCAAGTCGATCTGATGTCCTGCATTGGCTGTAATTGCGCATACAAAAAGGGATCCGTATGCTTACTGTTCATATTATTACACAAAGGATGCATTTTTAAAAGCTTATGAACATTCAATATATCCTATTGGAAACCCAGACGAATGGACAGTTCCTAACGAAGTACAAAACCAAATTGTGTTACCTCCTGACCAAAAATGAAGTTGTGGAAGACCTACAGAGAAAAGGAAGAGATCATCTAGGGAAGGCAAATCGAAAGTAAGCTGTGGACGGTGTGGTGAAAATGGACACAACCGCAGGAGATGCTCAAATTTTCTTCCATTAAACAAGAGCGTCCGACAGAGTAACAACGTTTGAAAAAGACAGCTCATAGTAGGGACTAATACCTGATAAAAACACCAAAGTTTTCATTCTTGAATAAGAAACATTATTCAATTGTGACCATATGTCATATTCTTGAATTTGAAACATTATTGGAATAACAGCGTTGACATCACTTGTGACCAAATGTCTTTCACATGATATGTGGCCTATCTTATCTAGTGGACACTGTAATCTGTGACTTGACATTCATATATCTAGTGCTGCAAAACTAAATATATTACCTCATAATCGTACGACATGTGCGTCTGCTAGTCAAATGTGGCATTACGAACTACAACTGCTTCAGAACATAATATGTGACCCCATAATCATAAGACCCCATAAAAATCAAAATTTGCGTAGAAGAAGAGCTTGAAGACCTCCATATGGATCCTACATCATTTACAGTGAACACATAAATCTGTGACATGATATTCATATCAGGGTCCTTTTTCGAGATTTTCAGTGCATTCGTAAGAGCAGGAAATAACTGAACACTATAAACTGTGACCTGATATAACCACACTTTCAATAGAAAAACTTAAACTGTGACCTGTGGCTGTATTATTCAAGGTATTCTGTGACCTTTTATTAATATGTTTTGTGTCGCAATGTAAATATGTGACCTGATATTCATAGGATATGTGAACCTGCAAACTAAATCGATGACTAGTCATATTACTGTGTTCACTGTAAATATGTGACCTCATAATCATACGACGTGTGACTGCTATTACGAACTACAACTGTGACCAATCGCATTATTGTGTACCAGAAGATTAATCTATTAGGAGATTACATGTGACCATAAGATTACTACAAAATCTTCAATTGTTGGTTCCAGGTCACAGAATGGTGAAATTCATGTTTTCAGTGCTACAGAACATAAATGTGATCTCAGAATAAAATTTGCTCAGAATAAAATCTTGAACTATTTGTAAACAGGTCGCAGAACAAAATATGTAGTGAGCACAGTAATCTGTGACCTGATATTCATACGTCCTGTGCGGGAAATTAAATATGTGACCAATCCGTCAGTAGAAAAACATAAACTGTGACTTGTGACTTTATTGAACAATGTAATCTATGACATGTTATTAATATGTTTTCAGTGCTACAGAACATGAAATGTGACCTCAGAATCATAAGACATGTGACTGATGTTAACGTGCAGCATTACAAACAAAATTTATAAAATCTTGAACTATTTGTAAACAGGTCATTGAACAAAATATGTAGTGAACACAGTAATCTGTGACCTAATATTCATAAGTCCCGTGCGGGAAATCAAATATGTGACCAACCCGTCAGTAGAAAAACATAAACTGTGACCTGTGCCTTTATTGAACAATGCAATCTGTGACCTGTTATTAATATGTTTTGTGTCGCAATGTGAATATGTGACATGATATTCATAAGATATGTGAACATGCAAACGAAATTGATGACTAATCATACTACTATGTGTCCAAACAACGGTTCATTACATACTAAAAGTAGTGGCACTCATGGAATGCAAAAAATGAGTTTACATCAATAGGACAATATTCAAATCAATCACCCCCATTGATTTATAAAAGACTACATATTCGAGCATAAAATCCGTTTACAAAAACTTTTGTGACAATCCTCATTCAATGACAATGCCCTCTCCTTTTGTGGCCTGCCTCGGATTCTTGACATAGGTCTCCCGGTGTTTGTAGAGTAGCGATGCAATATCAAGTCTACATTTGGCGACATCAAATTTCTGTGGTATAGAACGTCTGTGGCCTGCCTCGGATTCTTGACATAGGTCTCGAAGGATATATAACGCATATAATATGACGAACACCCCGCAATCATGACTGTGGAATAACACAAAACAGTATGTTATAAAATAATATTAAAATATGTTATGTATGTAGTATTGGTCACATACTCACCCATTCATCTGTTGGGGTATGGCAGTGTCAACGGTCACCTTCAATTCCATGCACCCAGATCCATTATAGTCAGGGTCTTTTTTCGAAATTCCCAATGCATTCATAAGAGCAGGCAATATCTTCACATAAGGCTCAACACCTTTTAGCACCTTCCAGTCATGGTAAGTTTTACCAGCTGAATTGAACACGATCAATCTGTGGCTTCTGAATTCTAGCAGACCTAGCAACCAGTGAGCTTTATTTGTGGGCAGAAGAGGCATGAACACATAGTCTACATCAGCCCAAGGTGTGTTCATAGTTATGCTATCACCTGTGACCACCTGGAACAACTGGCTTCCTGACAACAGAACATTAGGATCTTTTTTGAAAGCGGGGTATATGTCTTTTATCATGTTCTGGAAAGAGGAGTTTGTTGTTGTAGCTCTGTACTGTACTTTCCCAAATTTTGCTAGCTGCCGAATGTAGTAGAAGCATGCATCCATGTGCTGTGTGATCAAGAAGATAAGAAATAAGAGCAACATCAGAAAATTTCATAAAGTTGTGATTCTGTGACTTGTGACCAGGTTGGTATGTGACTTGTTGAACAAAACATATACTTATGAGACCACTGTGTCAGTGAACCGCATACTAGTTCGTGCATGATGTGGTAGCAGAGTCGTAACGTGGTCTCATTTGTTAACAAGTAATTGTACGATGAACAAATACATGAATGTTACCATACCCCGCTATTCAAAGACGTCTCAGGGTCTACGAGTTGGTGGAACCATGTTTTGTTACTGACTGGATATGAGCCAATAACAAAAGCTGGTTTGATTACGTCATCATGCTCATTAAACTTTTTCTTGAAACAAGAAATGTAAGAACAATTTACTGTAACCATATGAGCAATAGATTGAAGAAAGGGAAGAAAATATTCGTGCCTTTTTTTGGGCTTGTACCCTCTCTGGAACCAACCCAAAAATGTCGACTTATCACCTTCTTCAACATTGTCTTTGTAACTTCCAAATACAATAATATTGTCGTCATGCCGGAATAACTTTCCTGCACCCGCAACAAATGGAGAACACAAAATCCTCGCTGGTCTTGACACCCGCTTCATTGGTAATTCAAAAGGCAGTTCAGAAGTTGGAGATTCTTGTGTATTGAAAAAGATAAAATGTTAGTTTATGCAGAATGAATGTAACATGAATTCATAGATGCGTGTGATCTGTGTAATTCAAAACGTGTACCGTTCGTGACCTACACATTTAGTGACCAGCATGCAGCACAAAGAACAAAATGGGAATACCTCTTCCTCAACATTTGCAGATGCTGTGACTACATCAGATATGACAGCATCTACCCGCTTTTGAATTTCTGCAGAGTGAGAAACATCCAATTGTGTGTATCCAAAACCGAAGTCAAATGATGGCGGTTGAAGACTACATTCAAAAGTAGCATCATCACTTGGGTCGACCTTCTCCTTCCCTTTCCTGTCAACAATAGGTTCCTGATTTCCCACCTGCACGTGAAATTGGAGAATATGACATGTGAAAAAATGTAAAGACGGTCAGTGAAGGATGGATTGAACATATTGTTTACCTACCTCATCAATCTTGTGAACTTCTTAGACAACATGACTTTCTTCACCTCCAACTACAGCAGGTTCCGTATCTCTAAACTCATTAACAGGACAACCTTTCCTATCGTTGAAAAGCCTTAAAATCTCATCCATAGTACTTGATATCATTGCAGTCACAGACTCGGACAAGAATTGCATATTCGTCCTAATTTTCATCATGTCACATTTTATCTGTTCTTGCATCTTCATGATTTCATTAATCTTTTTTGTCTGATCACTCCGTTCCGTCCCATGATATTGTGGTTCATTTGGTAAATGTTGGGGGCCGAAGGGCCTTCAGCAGCATTGGATGTTTCCTGATGTGATGTCACCTCACATCGTCGTGGAGGATCCACGAAATCATCGTCGTCATCTGCAACATAAGCAGGTCCAACGCCAATGTCCATTACCAAAGGCACAGATTCTCCACTCATGCTAGCAGGGTTAGCAGACTTTCGCTGCCTGTTTTTCCTTCGATAGCTGCCACAGGAAAACTCCGGTTGATTTGTTTTGTTATACTGCACCCCATCTATATATGGCATCACCATTTCCGCTTCACTTGGTACCAGGTCACAGATCTGCATCTGCATTCCAGTAGAGATTAGAAAACAATAATGTTTACATATATTCAACTATCAGACAAAAAGAATTACTGGACCATTACATTAGGCTTCTTGAAGCAATCAGGCTCCTCCAACTTAGAAGCAGATGGTTGCTCGTTTGCAAACCAGTTTTTGATTCGGGGGTGCGTTGTTGATATCTTCGTGACAATAACTTCATCTAGACTAGGGAAGGTTTCGTAGATCCATGCTTGAAAGGCTACCAACATACCTCGTAGCCTGTAGTGTGTTGTTCGACGACTCAACCCATCTTTCAAAGAACTCAAAGTAACATCGAACATTAACTTTCCCCACGGAAAACTATTCAGTGCAGGGAAGTCTTCAACGAGTGTGAACAAATAGTGATCAACAACTTTCTTATAATCTCTGGGAAACAAATAGGTAGTAATAAAATAGAGGATACCGATCAGTGCAACATCATGATCAGGGAGGGCTTCGACAAGATCTAAGTCCGGCATTTGGCAGGCAGATATAAATGTGGACTTCACATCTTCATGTGTTACACTACCTACCTGAGAAAAGTATTTTGTCTTCAATTGTGACGGTCTACTTTCAAAAATACTGATGTCACTATTGCCGAAACATCTCAATCCCGTGACCAGACAAAACTCAGCCATAGAAAATCTTACATATCGCCCGGCAACTAAAAACCACAATTCTTCAGGATTGGGTTGATATACCTGCCTCAATAGGAAAAAGTGAAATAGCTGTGGTTGTACCACAATTTCATCGCAGTCGAGGAAATGTGTGAAGCAGGTTCTCCTCATGATTTGCTTCGGATGGTTGCTTAAGTTAGTTTGTATACTTTTCAAGACACCCTTGGTCACTAATGTTGTAATCTTGCCTGGGAACCACTGTTCCTCTGGAATGATGAATTGCCAAGCCTACACGAAGTTTTTAGAATGACGTAATGTTAAGCAAATGTAGTGAAAGCACAAACACATAGATATGCATGCACCTGTATAGTTAGCCTGAAACAAATTATTTTGTACAGGTCACATATGTATGCAACTGTGCACTTAGACCGCAAAAACATATTCATAATTCGATATCATGGTCACATAAAACTATTCAATAACTATGTTATCAATCAGGTCACATGCATGCACTATGTCATCCATTAAAGGCACAAATTCATAATTGTCTCGGTCACCGATTCACATATTGGTCACATGGTCATGTTGATAATGGTCATGTTCACAGATGGTGTAATAAAAACTCATTTCAGCACACATGTTGTTCACACACAAACATAGTCAAATCACACAGTCGGCCTAGAAAACTGATTATTTTGAAAGGGTCACATATATATGTGACCGTGTACTCACGCCACAAAACATATTCACAGTGTCGTAAGATAATAATAACATGGTCACTGGCATGCGTAATAATATGAATTCAAGCCTCGCATGCACAACCACCTTAGTGACCGACGGATATCATGGTCACACGCCATAAGTTTGTTAAAAAACGTAGTCACAAATTGGAGCTCATGGTCACATAAAACTCTTCAACAATTACGTTAACAATCAGTTCAGTACATGCAGATTGTCATCCATTTAAGGCCACAAATTCATATTTGTCTCGGTCACAGATTGACATATTCATCACATGAACCTTCATTGTTGATGATGGTCATGTTCATCGACGGGGTAAAGAAAACACATTTTAGCACACATGTTGTTCACACACAATGAGGTGATGAAACTTTAATCCTACGATTACAATAGATTAAGTTTACAGATGTCAAATTAATGTTCAATAGTGCTAAACCCATGATTCCACCAACATGTGTGCCACTAAAATCAGAACGCATACATCAGAAATTTAAAAAACCTTGTTTGATCGCACTTTTCTCGCGGACACCGAAACGACGTGCTTCTTAGGTGAGGTTCTTTTGGGGCTCTGCTTAGATTTCCTCTTTTTTGTTCATTTTGACATGTCTTCGACATTAGTAACCGGTTTTGCGCCCTTCGATTCCTCCATTTCACTTCGCTTGTTGATCCCAAGCAAAAAAATTGGGCGAAAACTATTTGAACAGATTATATACTACTACAAATGAAGCTGATAACACAGTTGCAAAATGGAAAATGAGAGACTTCGAAATTACCGGATGTAAAATCAAACGTACGATCGAAGCGGATTCGTGGGGCAAAAGTTTTGGGTAGTTTGGAATCGTGCAGAAGATATTGAGAGAGAGAGAGAGAGAGGAATTGGTATATTATGGAAGTTAGTTTAATGGATATCGTAATTGCGATAATTAAGGCACCAGTTTAATTATTAATATTTTAATAACATAATAGAAACCGGAGATGTGCATATAAATATTTCCAACCTGGCTTGTGAACTCAGTTCTTCTGTTACCTGGAAATATGTAATTTCCACTAAATGAATTAATTAAATATTGGACTGGTCAGGTCAAGCCCATTTGGACTTATATAAATAAGTAATTAGAGTTTTCAATTTGTAAGAGATTTTTCATTATTACTAGCACAAGAGGAGAAAATCATTGTTTCTACAATCTTGTTCTCTGTGTGGATTTCTATTAGAGGTTGGATTATTGGATAGCTGTGAGTAACGAATCAAGATGGTTGGAACGAAAAAATAGCAAAGAAGTTTGCGGATCTCGTAAAAGGCATTGCTCTATCATAGTTTCTATCTAAACACAAAGAGATCATTGATAAGAATTGAAATTTGTTTTAATTTTTCGCTGCGCATGATAGTAGATTCCCAACAGGTGACTACTAGGAGGAAAAAACCAACAGTACCTGAAATACATCATCATGAATAATATCACTTTGCTAATAAGAAGGATGATAATCCATTTAGGACCGTTGGACTGTAGTCATCAAAGCAAAAAATCACTTTCAGCACCTTCAAAAGAAAGAAGTTGATTGCGCCATATTATTTGCCTTTATCACCAATCAATGTATGAAGTCAAGTCGAATAAGATCAATAGGTTAAGAATGGACATACAAGAAATCCTAAAAAATGGAGATAGTCGAGCTCTAAATATTATTTATCGTCATAGAACAAAATTAATGGGTCACACGAAAAAAAAAAAATAAAGTTGAAA